TCAGAAAGCTCTGTCGAACCTGAAACGATGTAGAGCTGCAGGACCTGACAGTTTGTCAACTGACGTTTTCAAGGATGCAAGTGGGAAATCGCTGCTTAAAGGAAGAAGGCACTAGGTAGTGGTATGGGAATCAAAGGTAATGCAGCCAGACTGGCATACTTCACTTATAATGCCAGTCTATAAGAAGGGGAAGAAACCTCCTTGTGATAATCATAGAGGAATTCGTTTGATGGACATTGGGTCCAATATCCCAGGGGATATGGTTATCTAACGCCTAACTAAAGCTCGGGAACAACGGACTCGAGAAAACCAGGCAGGTTTCAAATCTGAAGGAGTGTGTATCGATCACATTTTCACCCTTCGACAGGTTCTGGAACACAGGCGTACCTACTCGTGGCCGACACTCGCCATATCTCTTAACCTGAAAGCAGTATTCGACTCTGTCGACCGTGAGGTATTGTGACATCGTCTGACTGTGAAGGGAGTACCGAGAAAGAACATAACGCTGGTCAAAGCTCTCTAGTAAAACTCACACAGCCGTATAAGGGTTCATGGAGAGTAGTCAAGTGAATTGACGACAACCAGTCGTGTCCGTCAGAGATGACCACTGCCACGGTTCCTATTCGATTTCGTTATTGATGTTCTTTATGAGCATAACTTTAAGTACCTATGACTTTACAAAGAGGTCATCTGGTTGACTTGGAGTATGCAAACGATATTGTTCGAATAGGCGAAGACGCTGACGAAATGCAGGGTCTTGTGAACACGTTGAACAGAAATCTGAGTATGCATAGCATGGGTTTCGCTGGCACCTGTCAAATGTGAGATGATGCTCTACGACTGGTCTACTGCAAGTACTCCCAGTTTAATGATAGGGAGTGAAGTTGTGGAATATGCCGACGACTTCACTTACATGTGGAGTTGCATCGCCCCGAATTGGGGTGGTTGCTGACGAAATCTCAGCTGGGATACAATAGTCCTGTTTGACATTTGCCAACTAGCGTCATGTGTGATGCCAACTGGTGAGATATCCGAATGGCTATTGGAGGACGAGTATGGTGCGCTGCAGTTTGTTGCATTCTGTTGTACGACTGTGAGACATGGCCGTTAAATGTAGGAGGATAGGAAGTGATTACAGGGTTTGGTTACAGATGCCTTCGCAGCATTGCTAGTTTTTGGTGGAATAACAGTATGAGCAGTATTGAGATCAGACGAAGGGTACTAGACAAGGCAGGAAAGTCGATCGATGAGTTTGTCAATGTTAGTCGACTGAGATGACTTGCCGAGCCGCAGCCTACCCCAACGTATCATGCTAGGGAAAGTTGGATTAGGTTGAGAGGGTTCAGGGTGGCCGTCGAAGGAGCATTACCAAACAGAAAGAACTGGACCTCAAGAACTAGACGCGAGAATTCTATTATGAGTTTCCTCTACTCGCACTACTAATGTCAGGTCCATGTAACTGCATAACACTAAACCAGAGGTATTATGATATAAATGTGGATACGCTTTTGACTAAATAGCACCCTATTACCTCTAAATTATTGATATGAACCTCTGGAAATATTTAAGAATTAGTCTGATAACTTAAAAATAAAGGTCTATCATAATGAATATTATTTTCATTTCAAAGAACAAAACTTGAAGACTAAATCATAATTGTGTCCTTAATGGGAAATTCGGGCATCTGTAAAACCTTGAATTGGCACATAAAGTGAGACGATAACACCCAAACCAAAAAAGTGCGGAAATAAAGGGGATGAACCAGGTAATAATGTGTACCTCAAGGAAAACGTTTCAGAAAGCATCAACTCAAAAAGTAGGGGTAGTACATTTAGCATTTTGGAAACTCCAACACACACTACAAACACTTCAAACAAGCAAGTAACTACATTAAATTTAGTTATCTCATATATTAGATATAAATATAAACTAACAGAGCAAAAAGGAAAATAAATCGAATCAAGGGGAGAAAAGTGGAAAATCGGAGAAAAGTTCAATGGTAAAATAAAGCGACATTTGTGGCGAAATGCAACTTATCTCCCCCTTCTACACTTTTCCCCCTATTAAGTCTATTTTTCTCCTCTCAAACCGCTTTACTCTTTCAATCTTTATGTTTACCTGTAGACTTTTCCCCCTTAAACCCGATTCATTTCCCTTTAATTGTCTACTTTCCCCCTCAGATGCGCATCATTCCCCCTAACTGTCGACTTTTCCCATTCGGTTACGCTTAGTTTCCCTTGACTTGCCTACTTTTTACCATCGTTTTCGATTCATTTTCCAGTTTAAACAGTACATTAATAAAACTAAGACGGTTTCAAAAGCACCAACTCATCAGGTAAGCGAAAAATACTCAATATTTTACAAGCTTCAAAAATACAGTAATATTTTCAATGGGGAAGTGGTTATTAAAACGTTATCTTCACAGTGCGTTTTCTAGACACACGAAGCAATCCAAATTTTCTCTGGGGTTTCGTCCATGTGTTACCTCGATCCATGCAATAATTAATCCTGCAAAGACAAAAAAGAAGGATCATAACCAGTTTTTATTCCTAATGCTTTGGAAATCAAACTTGTTTATTCCGGAAAACTCACGCTGTTTATTGTATCAGCCTCATTTGGCATCCCGCTATTCTTCTTGAAATGAAAAAAATCTTAAGCATCAATCTTTAAATGCATAGTCAAAAATCGGTAGAGGGAGTAACATAGGAAATGCTTACTTTTGATTGATTCCGGCTGGCACGTTTTGAAACCCTATCTCGAAGGTCATGGAAGAATGCTTTCGTAGCACCATCGATTTCCTTCAGAAGTTCATTCTCTCGTATGCTCGGCCGACTGAAGTCAGCAAGTAGTATGGCTAAAACAAAAGTTGTCACTAGATGAAGTACTTACATCGAACAACCTTGTGGAAAGAGCATTTACACAATGCCAGCTTGTTAGGTGTTCCCATCATTGTGTAACGGTTAGCTAATGCAGGCGATAGTAAGGCAGTTAGCATACACCTAATGTACCTTTTGATAGTCAAGGTTACCTTCGTGGACTCTTATTGCCTCTTTAAATACAATCTTGATGCTGAAGACATTAAGCATGACATAGCTCCCCAGAGTGATAGGGCAATTATAGATTGTGAAAAATGAATGGTGTGGTAATGTTCACTACAATTACTTTAGTGACTTCAGATTCGTGGGCGGAGGCAATAAAGTTGAAAACCGTAATCGAAAAACGTCATGGTTACAAGGAAAGGGTGATTGCTGATGAAGTCACCTCGTTACCGGAGAAGTGCACGCGGTAAGACACATTCACTCTGGAACTTACATTTTCATGGTTATGAAAAAAAGATGGTGATTTCGTATACGATTCGACCTCGACGTGATAGATGTCCAAAGAGATCTTATGGCGTCAACGTATCCCTACATTCACATGTTACTAGGTAACTTAACTTCTTGTCAATTAATTGCACTGCAGCACTTCAAGAAAACACCAACCACTGCTGGCGTCTTCACTTATTTCTGCTGCATTAAACAACGACCAGACGGCAATAAACATCAAGATAATGAGTGATTGAAATTACTAACCTTTCTCAACCTTCTATGAAGGCATGTTGAAGGAAAACGCTAAGCTCGTTAAGCAGATATATTCTGTACTTATAAAGAAACCGGACACCAGTGATATGCTGCATGCAGACGACCATATGCAATATCCCTTGGAAACGAAGGAGCAACTTGATATGCTAGAGGCGCCGTCAGATGCTTTTGTAAGGACAAATACGCTTCGAATATTGATTTTTAGACTGCAGAAACGTCCAGGAAGGTAACCTCGACTATCAAGAGGTACATTAGGTGTATGCTAACTGCCTTACTATCGCCTGCATTAGCTAACCGTTACACAATGATGGGAACACCTAACAAGCTGGCATTGTGTAAATGCTCTTTCCACAAGGTTGTTCGATGTAAGTACTTCATCTAGTGACAACTTTTGTTTTAGCCATACTACTTGCTGACTTCAGTCGGCCGAGCATACGAGAGAATGAACTTCTGAAGGAAATCGATGGTGCTACGAAAGCATTCTTCCATGACCTTCGAGATAGGGTTTCAAAACGTGCCAGCCGGAATCAATCAAAAGTAAGCATTTCCTATGTTACTCCCTCTACCGATTTTTGACTATGCATTTAAAGATTGATGCTTAAGATTTTTTTCATTTCAAGAAGAATAGCGGGATGCCAAATGAGGCTGATACAATAAACAGCGTGAGTTTTCCGGAATAAACAAGTTTGATTTCCAAAGCATTAGGAATAAAAACTGGTTATGATCCTTCTTTTTTGTCTTTGCAGGATTAATTATTGCATGGATCGAGGTAACACATGGACGAAACCCCAGAGAAAATTTGGATTGCTTCGTGTGTCTAGAAAACGCACTGTGAAGATAACGTTTTAATAACCACTTCCCCATTGAAAATATTACTGTATTTTTGAAGCTTGTAAAATATTGAGTATTTTTCGCTTACCTGATGAGTTGGTGCTTTTGAAACCGTCTTAGTTTTATTAATGTACTGTTTAAACTGGAAAATGAATCGAAAACGATGGTAAAAAGTAGGCAAGTCAAGGGAAACTAAGCGTAACCGAATGGGAAAAGTCGACAGTTAGGGGGAATGATGCGCATCTGAGGGGGAAAGTAGACAATTAAAGGGAAATGAATCGGGTTTAAGGGGGAAAAGTCTACAGGTAAACATAAAGATTGAAAGAGTAAAGCGGTTTGAGAGGAGAAAAATAGACTTAATAGGGGGAAAAGTGTAGAAGGGGGAGATAAGTTGCATTTCGCCACAAATGTCGCTTTATTTTACCATTGAACTTTTCTCCGATTTTCCATTTTTTTCCCCTTCACTGGTTTTTTTTTCGTGTGGACCTACAAGTGGTTTTCCTACACAACTCTACAACTATACAGGTTCTTTTTGGCAACAGTATAGGAGAAGGAGATCGAAAATTCTACGAAATCGAATGTACTGACCTAAATAGCGAAAGGAGACCAATATGATCGCAACTATCATATAGGTAATAAGTTAGGAGCCTTTAAAGTAACCGCGACAAACTGAGGTTATACAAACTCAGGATGCTTAAATACATTTGAGATTGTTTGCTAAATGTTGCGCGTTCTAGAGCCATAAAGGAATGAGTGGCTTTTTATGAAAATTGTTCATTGTCACGTTCTGCGAAAAATAAGTGATACTTCCTGTTCAATATTCAATGCCGGTTCATTGAGCTTTTAAGACTTGCCTGTACGAACTTGCTAGACTCAGAGCCCAATCACTATCTTTTCGCATTTGTTACATAGGCACGAACTTGAGCCCAAGAAAGAACACAATAAAATAGTCAGAATTAATATTATATTTGTAAGGTCATGCCGAGACACGGATCCGTTCCGACTTGCCGGCTAGATAGTGGGTTACGAACAGCGCAACGTAACACGACAGATAGCCAGATGGTTTGGAGGCTTGACCACATGCCCTCAGTCTAGAGAGTCGGACAAAATTATGAATGTCGTGATCAGTGTTGGAGTTTTCAAACTCTAATCCATTAGATTTTCAGAAATATATTGCGCTGCAAATCATCTCCCCTCTGAGTATTTGTGAGAACCTCAAGACAGTATCCGCCTGCGGGATCAATTTAAGAAGTAGCCATTTGTTGTCTGGATTTATTATAGGGTGTCGTCGCGAAAGAAAGAAAGCAATAAATCAGATTGTTCGCCGAACGCGATCACAGTTTGTTTTGAAGTTCCGTTCAGTTCTCGTTGGATCTGGAGGAGAGAAAAGAGTCCTCGATACTGCAGAAAACTTTGCGAAAATGGAAAATGCTGGTTCACCATCTACAATAAAAATATTGAATACAGATTTGATACTAAGTTCTGTTTTGTCTTTTGACAAACCTACGGTTATGCGGTAGTAAAAACTGGCACTAAAGATATAAAATTTTGGAAAATTTTCGCATCTTTATTAAAAATGGTGTCTTGATGAAAATTTGAAGTTTAATAATAGCACTTTTCCCCTCACCATTCAGCCGAGTATGTCTTCAGAAAATCTAGGATGCCGACGGTTCAACCTAGTTGTGTTTGCCGTTGTGTGATTGATTGTTGTGTCTGTGTATAAGCAGGCTCGTGGTCAAGGGTTTCGACAACTGGGGTACCTGCTATGGTGGGCAGAAACTTCGCTTGTGATGGGGTTACCCTCAGAGTTAGCTGGTTTCAAACGGCGGATGTCGACAAAATCTTCAAGTCCGTTCCACTGGATTATGTGAAACTCCTCATGCTTCCTAATGGCCTTGGGTGGTCCATCGTAAAGTGGTTTAAGCCGTTGACGCGTGGCACCGTGGCGTATGACAACGTGTGGTGTCTCCGTATAGCACGGTTCACGTAATGCATCCGAAAGCCTGGCCACGTAACAGTTTCTGCCAGAAACATTTGTTAAAGCTGAAGGGGGCACGAACTCACGTGACGGGCGAAGAGTAGTCCAATAGACGAGTCTTGGAGAAGAGTATCCAGGATCAACTTTCGGCGTATTCCGGATGCTCAGCAGGACAAGAGGCAGGACCTCTGTCCACTGATGCATGTTTGCAGCCGAAACGGAGACTATCAGCTGTCGATGGAAACGTTCTACCATCCCGTTTGCTTGTGGATGGTAGGCTGTCGCTCGGATCTGACTGCAACCTGAAAGTGGAGTTAAAGCGTGGAATAATACACACTTGAATTGACGCCTACAGTCGGTTGTTACGTTAGACGGACATCCAAAGTTCGCGATCCACCTTTCGACGAAAACATGGGCGATGGTTTCAGTAGTAATATCTTCAATAGGTACTGATTCTGACCATCGGGTAAAACGATCCATGCAGGTGAAAAGGTAGGCGCATCCATTAGATTCTGGTAGAGGTCCAACAATGTCTATGTGGATGTGGTCGAAACTCATGTCTAAGGCCAGAAAAAACCCAGAGGTCTTCACGTGTGTCGCGTGACCTTACACTTCTGACAAGCTAAGCATGATTGAGACCCCTTCTTAACATCTTTCTTCATTCCGGGCCAGCAGAAACGTTGTACAATAAGCGTGCTGGTGGCTCGTACACCTGGATGGGAACAATTTGCGCAACATACTAGAGACGTCGGGTCAACGTCTCGGAACTATTGGGCGTGGTCGACTGGTGGAAACATGGCATAAAAATGTATATTTGAGTGAACCTACGGCCACATACGCAGCTTGAGAGCTGCGGACGACAACCCATGGCACAGCCCAAGGTCCTCTTTTTGAAACCAGGCTAGCCTAAAGAGACCAAAGCCTTCGACAAGGTTTAAAGAAGCTATTACGGATACTGCGTCGCCTAGCACTAAAATACAATTAGGGCTAAAATAAATAGACTAAATTAAACTGACCAAATAAACCTCTAGCACGCGTCCGGATGCTTTCTGTGTTTTAAGTTTTGTTCTGAAGAGCATGCATCCGAGCAGGCTTCGGCGCCATTTTGCGCTCCCTTTGTACCGATTAGCACGCAAGTACTCAGCGTCCCCAGTTCAGCCATACTAGCTAGACAAGTTGAATAAACTTTTCCCCTATTGATTACCATCACATTTACTCCAAATATATATATTACTTCTTAGAATATATTGCGGAAACCAGTTCTTTTGGTTTGCACTTCGTTTCTAGTACTTGCACATTAGGTGGGGTGCTGGTTAAGCAGGCGCTACAGCACGTCGAGTTAAGTAGGGTTGATCAAACGTTACGGAATGCTAACACACTTCCTTACAATTGGTGAGCCCGAGTATTACCTTGTTATTTTCTTATTATCAACGTCGTGCCTGGTGGTACCCTTTATTAATGGCTGACAACAACGACCCTAGTGCGCGGACATCCATAACTCTTCAGCTTCCCAACTTTCGGGGACATTGGCCATCGGCATGGTTCTCCCATGTGGAAATTCAATTCTCCTTAAGGCATATTCACCTACAGGAAACTAAGTCCAACTTAGATATCGTCAGTTTGACGGAAAATGTAATCAAAGATATCTCAGACGTGTTAGGCGACCAACCACCAGAACCTGTACGGTCGCCTCAAGGCCGCCCTCGTCAAGGGCGTTGCACCTACTAACCACCTGAAGGTGCAAGAGCTTTTCAAGGATGTGAGTCTTGGTGATCGCAAGCCCACGCAACTGCTTCGTCAGATGAAGCAACTGGTCGTAGACCTCAATACTGATGAGGCACTTCTCAAGCAACTGTAGTTACAGAGACTACCATAGACAGTGCGAGGAATCCTAGCACCCTTTGGTAAGTGCCGCCCGATAGAGCTGGCAGAAGCAGCTGACAGAGCTATAGATGCTATCAAGCCCAACACCAATATTTCAGCTGCGTTGTCTACTGCCACCAACTCATCCAAAGACTCCTGCCCTCCCTCTGCAAGTGAGCCAACAAGTTTCGGCGCTGTAGCTCTTATCATTAAATTGTGTGAGGAGTTGTACAGCATCAGAAAGGAAATGCTACCTAATGATTCTTCCTACGGTCGCATGCCTCACTCGTGCAACAGATCTGCTTCCCGTACAGGCAACAGACGTTTCAAACTGCGACCGTCCCAATCCACGTTGTACTGGTATCATAAACATCATGGTGCCAATTCCAAAAGGTGCACCCGACCTTGCACCTTCGAGGCTAACCAGGCGGGGAAACGTGTGAGCCAGCACATGACGGCAACTAACGTCGCTGGTGAACCACTTCCATGTTTTTTCTTCTTCGTCACAGATCGACGTTCTGAGATACGCTTCCTGGTTGACACTGGGTCGGAAGCCAGCTTCATCCCCTCTATGATTGAAGAGCGTCTGCGGCCAGTGTCTCTGCAACTTCATGCCGCCAGCGGTTCGCCCATCACAACTTATGGTCAAAGATTCCTTGACCTCAATCCTGAACTGCGTCGTTATTTCTGTTGGGTTTTCATAGTGGCTGATGTGACCACCGGCATTATTGGTATGGATCTCTTACAGTACTATCAGCTACTGGTAGATGCTGGTAAGCACAAGTTGATTGATTCTACCACAAGACTCTCTGTCTCCGGTATTGCCACACAGACTCCGTCTCTCAGTCCAGTGTACTCTACGAAGGACGCTTCTAGTCCCTACGTGTTGATTATTCAATCGTTTCCGGATATCTTCAAGCCAAGTCGCAGGGTCCCTTCTGTGACTTCGAACGTTTCGCATCACGTAACTATGACTGGCCCACCAGTGTTTGCTAAACCACGGTAACTATCTTTGGTGGAACTGTGTGCCGTCAAAGCCGAGTTTGAACACATGCTTAAGATAGGAAAAATCAGATCATCAAACGCCCTATGGTCTTCACCCTTGCATGCGGTACCGAAGAACAATGGCATGGATTGGAGGCCTCATGACGACTACCCAAGGCTCAGTGCTAAACAATTCCAGATCGTTACCTAGTCCATCACATACATGACCTGACTGCTCGTTTATCTTCAGTTAACTTGACTTGACGCGTGCATATCATCAGATCCCAGTTCATCCTGATGACGTCCCCAAGACAGTGGTCATTACACCTTTTGGTCTTTTCGAGTTTCTTCGCATGCAAAAACCTTCCAGCGCTTTATTCATCATGTATTACACAGACTAGACTTCACCTACGCTTATTTTGACGATGAAGGTACTCACAGTACTTACTTAAAACAGGTTTTCACCAGACTGTCGGAGCATTTGATGGCGGTCAACCTGACTAAATTCCATAGTGGTGTTCGTTCACTGAAATTTCTGGGACATGTTATAGACAAACGGGTACGGGCGATCCAAGAATTTCCGGTCCTAGTGTCACAAAAAAGCGATGCGTACACTCCTGGGGATGGTGAGCTGTCGTCGCCGTTTCGTCCCCCAATGTCCTCACATTTTGACTGCACCAACCGGCCCGCTGAAAGGTCGGCGTAAAACTTTCAGCATGACTCCTGAGGCACTGGACGCATTTTGCAGGATCAAAACCTCAATAGCAGGCGCCATAATGTTGGTCTATCAAGATGCGAACCGACCGCTTAGCACTGCGGTTGACGCCTCCAACACGGCAAC